GGCCATTTGCTCGTTTTCACAAGTTATATTAATGTTAAAAGTATTATTATTTATATAAGAAATTATATATAAATTGCCACACACTGCATAAAACCTTACGTGTCAAAGACTGGGTGAACTTTTCCTAATAATTATTTATTAATTAATTTAATAGATGATTTATTTAAACTAAACGACACTATGGCTATTGACCTTTTCCAAATGATAGTAATCGGACGATAGCTAAACTTTAGATCCTTTATTTTTAAATATTGGTATTACAAGATTGTGTTTGAGCTTCTCAGGAAACCTCCCACACTCGAAGAATTTATTAATTAAATGAGTTAATTGTAATACAATAATATCTGCAATTTGTCTTAGAATAAATATACTTATCAATGTCCGGAGTATTAGCTTTTACACTTATAATATATTCAAAAACTCTATCGAGAAAAGTATATTAGAGAATTGTCTGTCGTAGTAATCTTCCTCTTCTTTCCTAATTTTATTTCTAATATCCTTGGATAGCCCTCTCCTCAAATACAACGCTTGTTTAATTGTTTAAACAATCTCCTGTTCAATTAATTGTATTGTATCCCTTGAGATAAGTTTTGCCGAAAATTTTATTAATATTTATTATTATTATTTATTAATAAAATCTGCAGGGTATCCTGAAAATAATCCGCCAATTGATCAACAGAAGGATCTGAGGAATAATAGTAATCTCAAGCGAAACAAGATGATAATGCATTACTTAAAAGCTGTATTGAAATATTATTTATTTTCTTTCGTCTTTTTAACAAATTACCACCTATTTCCATATATTTCCTTGGGAGAAAGAAAACTATAGTCGTGTGATCCGACAATAAATCCTCGTGAATAAAATTCTGACTCACTGACATTGGTTAACCCGAAGTAAATCAAGGAGTGAATATCTTTATAACATCTGGTCGGTTGCTTTTGATCAGCCAAAAGTGATAAATTTTCAGAAAAACAAAAGTTTAACAAGTCACAAGTCCTTATCGAAGAATCTTTAAGTAGATGTACAATTAATTTTTCTTGTGTAAAATTTAATTCTCGTTTTATTGTAGAATTTTCTTGTTTTAATTCTGAAATTTCATCAAAAAGCCTTTTATTGTTTATCTCCAGAGAGTTAGGACGGTCATTAATTTAATCAAATTTATCTGATAAAAATTGAATCGAATCCTTTATGCTTCTATTTCTTTCATTTATATTCTCCATACCTCTATAAATTTGTTTAATTTCTAAGAATAATTTACCAAACTTGGTTGACTCGTTAGGCACAAGTGTCGTTGAAGTGAGCGGGAGGTTTCCTTGTTTATTATTATAATCAATCGATTTTTCAATAACTGGAGAGATTGAGTTGACTCACCTAAGCTGTGCTACTTTCAATAAATTTACTAAAACATATAAAAAAAGTTGGAAATGTGGATCCTGTAGACTAGTGAAGACTGCAAAAAGTAATGTAAATTCAATTGTTTTCATTAAATTCCAGACAAATCACGTTAATTAACATACAATACAGCTCTAAGGACTGTAATTATCCCCAGAGATTTCTAATTACAGCGCCTGCAGCCGCACCTACTGTACCCGAGACAGCGGCACCGACAGAGCCTAGCCCAGCTGCACCAATGCTTTGAGCAATTGCGAAAACACTACCTGCAGGTACCGCAGCACCATACATAGCGGATTGAATTCCGGCAGCTGCGGAACCAGCTGCCACACCTGCCCCGGTGAATCCCACGGCTCCTAAAACCGCAGGTACAGCCACGAAGGGTACGATTATCGAACCTCCAACCATGAGAGCAACACCTATTTTATCCATCGTAGAATCTGTAAATATATAATATTTTTATAGGCTATATTTAGTAGTCATTTAAATACAATTATTATGTAATTAGCTCAGACTATTTATAAAATATTAGATTTTAGCAAAATCTGCGATAACAGTTTATGATCAAGAATCACAGCAGTGACTCCACACCAAGTAAAAAAAAAATGTCCCTGACTGACTATATATACAGTAATCAGAGTTCCCGATTTTCGGGGGTGGATTTTTCCGCCCCCAAACATCTGAAGTAATTCCGAATATCCCGTTCGAAAGAGAATTGTTTTCTTAAGTAGTGTGCAAAATTTCAACATATTCTATAAAGCGGTTTCCGAAATATAAGCAATTGAAAAGTGCAAAAATGCTGCTTTTTTTTCTTCATCCGACACTTCAGACTCTCGTAGAAAAAAGGCTGCTGGATCTAGAAAGCTCAAATTTTAAACTTAAGACTTTCTCGTTATCGGTGAGGTGATGGCCAAACTACCGGATCGATAGGTCAAAGTTTACGGAGGTTTCCCATAGAGCGAATTCAGTTTTAAGGCTTAATTTTATGCTTATAAAGATAAAATTTCATGGAACAAGTAAATTTTATTTAAAATTACAAAAGCTCAAATACATGCCAATTAAAACTTTTTATAAATATTGATGGACACTCCAAAGCAAGCAGGAAATACAGTAGAGCGTCGTTTATCCGAATCAATTGGGACTGGCGTTGTATTCGGATAACTTATTTTTCGGATAACCGATTATGCACGAAAAATATATTAACCTATCCCATCCTGAAATTTTTCTCCGTTGCGTGTCGCTTCGCGTTGAATTTTCGTCGATGTTAAGCCTAACGTAAACTTTTTAAAAAAATAATCGTGGCTATTGCATCGCTAAAAATTAATTCTTTATTTTGTACAAACAAAATAAATATATTGAAATATATAAAAACAATAAAAAAATTATACTTCAGAAGTTAATTTAGTATTAAAAACGTAAAATATTTGAGTACCCCAAGATATAGCCAAAGATTGCAGCGTCACAGCACTAGCGAAAATTTAAATTTGCCAACTGGAATTCTTTCAGAAAACTGACGTTTCGGATAACCGACTTTCGGATAAACGACGCTCTACTGAACTAACAATGGTAACAGTGCTAGAAAAACTTTTTTTAAACGTGAGCATAAAATTTCTATAACAGGGAAAAGGCGAATGGCGTAAAATAGGCTTTATATATTGTACTGAGAAGTGTTATACCACTCCTCAGTACAATATATAGACTTAAATAATTATGTCAATAATACTCCATGTTTAAATTTATTCTATTATTTAAAGGTATTTTTATTATTTCTAGATGTTCGTGTAGTTTTCTTTTTAATACAGTTTTCTTCCTTTTTAAAAATTTTTACATTATTTATTACTAGTTTACAGCCTTTAACAGAGCAATGTATAGGAAGAGCAGAATTAATATAGTTATATAGAGGTTTCAAAAGTAGGTATACAGTTGAGAATCTGAGAAATACAAATGTTTGGTGTTCATTATTATTATTTTTATTATCTTTTATCAGTTCGTATACCTTATTTATGATGTAATTTGTACATACTAATAAATGTTTTTTCTTGCATTTTTCTCCCTGTGTGTTTTTTCAATAATAACAACTGTATACCTACTTTTACACTCCCCCCTGTATTTAATAGCATGGAGATGCTCAGAGCTAGCGCTAAATTCGTCTATCGATTTAACCAATCGATAGACGAATTCTATCTCTATCGATTTAACCAATTGTCCTTCCTTTTCGTTTATATGTCAGCAGTTACGCTCAACTCTTTCCTCTTGTCCCATCGCAGATTTTCAACTTTTATATAACTATTTCAAATATATATTTTTTTAGCCGTATCAAGCAACTCACCGTCATTCCACCGCCATGTTGGGAACGAGAAACAACTATTTACAACGTACGTCGAGGCTAATATTTCCGTTTGTCTGCATTAAGAGAACGTTAGCTACGTTTAAAACAATTTCTCGCAATCACAGTAAAAATTGAATACGACATATTACTTTTATAACTAGACACGAAGAGCTATTGGAGAAAGCTCACTTCCCTCTCCAACATGGCGTCGAAGTGACAATAGTGACGTTACTAAAATAAAGACCGTCATAAATTACTAGTTATAAAAAGGTATATTTTATATGCTTCAAACATTACCTCTGCACACCGTGACTGCATCTAATTTAGTATATAAATCGGTACGTATGCAGTTTGGTGGTACAGATACTTGAAAGGTTTTCTTCCATAAAACCACTCTAATTTGACTCGAACATTTCGAAAACACGTGGAATTTTTTAGGGATGATCCATGCTATAAACAAACAATTGTAGGGTATACTTACCGAGTGTGAGTCGTTCGAAGACGTCACTGTTCAAGCTTCTTTTTAGTATTTGCGTACGCGTGTTATATGACAATTCTGGGTGTCATTTTCACACGCGACGACTCACTCACCCATCTGTGACGTGTTTCCGGATAACTTCTCTCTGTAGAATTCGTTCTTTGCGCATTACAGTGCAGACGTAACGTGATAGATTTACGTAATATTTCCTATCAAGCGATTCCCCGATAACTTCCCGGACTACTGGTTGATAAACGTTGCATCGGTTACGTTTCCGGTGATACGGTAACATTCTACAAAACATACCGATTTAACTCCTCGAAAAACAATTTTCAAAACTAAAGTAATAAACAATCGAATTTCCAAACAGAAAAGTCTTTATCTAAAACAATAGATGATACGTGTGTTAGAGCAGTAAACTTCCGGATTTTTAGGAGTCTTTCGCTCTCTTTGAAGCTTAATAACTCCCGTATCTTTAGTCAACAATTTCCGAAATTTTGCAGGTAGGTTTCTTTATTAGGGGAATTGATGATATTAAATTTTGATGAATAAAGGTGAAATAGGTGAGGTGATAATAAGAGTCGTACGTATCTCCATTTGGGTCGGACATAATGACGATTTTACTCGTTATTACCATTTATAATTTTTTATAAAACCAATTCCTACCCTCAAAATTAAGTTCTTTCGAATTTTATAATAATTAAATATTTAAAATAAAATTAATAAAATATGTTAACAGATGGCGCCACTAAAATTTTAAATGTTGGTACGTTTTTTTTTTCCGGAAGTTATGATTTCGGTTCTGGTTTTGGCTTTGGTTTTGGTTTTGGTTTGCTCGTATAAATAGATTGTAGATTAATTAAAAGACAGACATTTGCACGTGAGCTTGCAACAGAATATAATAAGAAATTTTTAATTCTGCTACCATTATCGTACGTTATTTAGGTAAGTGTATTGTCTACTGTAATTGTACTTTACTGTTATAAATGGTTAATATATTTTTTTAAGTTGAATAAATTGCTATTTAATGTTGGTTAATAATATCGATATACCCGACATATCTCTGTTGAGATAAGATTCTAGCTTATAAATAAATATAATACAGTAGATCCCCCTATAACACTGTTGATAATTTCGTTTTATATGAATTCCACGTTGTACAAGTCAACTTAGATTTTACAAATACTTGTGCCGGGCTGTGAACGGCTCACGTATTTGTAAAATCTAAGTGACACGTACAACATGCAATTCATATAAAACGGAATTATCAACAGTATTATAGGGGTTCGACTGTATTGTATTTGAAGATATCTATTTTGCTGTACTTTACTGTAGATTAATTTATTAATGACAATGATTTAATTTCTTTTGTGTCGTTTTATGTTAAAATTTAAACACCGAATGAATTCATGTCAAATAAATAGGTAATAAATTATACATTTGACAAATATTGCCGTACTGTATATACTGTATGTATTATTAAAAACTTGGGATTAATGTTTTATACGAATTAATAATAACTAACAAATATTTAATTAATATTGAAACTAGAATTTAATTTCAAATGAATTACATGCGAAAACGCTATTGTACAGTCCGACCAAAGGTTATTCCCGGGATTCCTGCCGTTTATTCCCTACGAGAAAAATCCCGGGAAATTTTATTTTCCCGGGAAATCTCGCATTTCAATAATAATTTATCATGTCAGGTTTTCTTCGTATTATTTATTATACGAAAAGTTGCATCTTGAAGACTCACCTAAGAAAAAAATTTTGAGGTTTCATGTTGCATATTATTACCTATGTTTTACAAGTTTCTACTTGTTAGTTCATATAATATCTATGTATTGTGTTTGCGCACTATTGAACAGCGGAGCACTCGCTGAAAGTAAAAATCACTCATCGCAATTTAGTTTATTTTTTATTTTATCTTTAGAAATAAAATGGTATTTTTTTCGTAATCATTAAAACTCCCAATGAAACGCTTTATTTTACTTTCATCTTATAATGTAGGAGAACATAAATTAATTGAGCCTAACGTGTCCGTATGGGTGAGATTGGCCCTACACCTTTAGTTACTTACTAGAAAATAAATTAAATTATTCAAATATATGATATTTCTGTATGATCTTTTTTATTCATATAAAATTCTATTTTACTATCTCATCCCGGGATCCCGGGAAAAGAAATTATTTTTCCCATAATCCCGCTGGAGGCAAATTTCCCGGGAAATGAGAAACCCTAATGTCGATACAAGAAGAATAACCAACATTAAACATTTATTTCCAGTTGTAGCACTGGAGGCCCGAGCAAACTCAGACTTTGACGTCGCCTCAAGAGTATCTAATATTTATTCAATATGCGGCATGCAATATCGCGATGGTGGGACTACGGCGCTACTTTCAAAATGGCGACTCATGGGTCAACACGTGAGAAAGGATTGTGATCAAAAACATTTATTTTTTTATTATTTATTGTAATTTATGCATGTACTTTTGCCATGCCTCCCTCGCCCCCAATTCAAGTGCCCTAGGCTATCACCTAGTTCGCGTACATGAACGGGCCGGCCCTGGGTTGTAGATAGTAGGATTATTTATAAAAACAATCCATACCAACATTTAGATAGTTGTTTGTGGACTTTTGTGTGGATTTTTATTCGTTTAGGTATTGGACTTTTTATTATTTCGAGGATTATTCTCTTTTGTGCTCTTTCTTCATTATATTTTATAATTTCTTATTAAACTTGTAAATTATGTTAATCGTTTATTTAAAAAATTGTTCACTTATTATTTTTTTAAATTATGCAATTTTTTTAGAATTTACATACATTAAACAATTGTTTATGTATTGTACTGTACAAGTTGAAAAATTACTACATAAATAATAGGTTAATTAAAAGCTTTTATTATAATCCTGTAATATAATAATAAGACTGATTTAAAATTTCATGTATATAATTTCTTATCGTTTTTTTAAATGGAAAGATTAATTTTAAATCTAATTTTTTTTTAAGAATTCAGAAGAATGGCCAATTATCATGAAGATATTTATAAAGTGGATTATAGGGAACAAGGAAAATGTTTGATATTTTACGATCGGGTATTATACTTTTGTATTTCTATTATATGATTTTCAAATGCTTATGAACCATTTTTATTTTCCAATTAATATTTAATATTAGTTAAGTAAATTATAACTACTTAAATTTTTATTTTAATACAGTATAACCTGGTTATAACATAGCTTGCAGAATTGAAAATTACTGATATAAGAAATACATTATTAAGAAATTGGTTATTAAACGTCGAAGGGTGGGGAGATAAAGGGGCTCGTGTGTATCTCCACTGGGGTCGAACTTAACGATGATTTTACTCGTTATAAAACCCATCTCTACACTCAAAATTAAAAATGTGTATGGTGCCATCTGTTGTGAGATTTTATATTAAAAATAGCTTTTATACTATTAATTATAACAAATTTTTTGATAGAAAATATTAATGTTGTCTACAGAAAACCTCAACTGTTTCTCGGCGTTTCACGGTTCCTGGGTGTAAAAACGTAAAATTCTTGGGGCATCAATTTTTGACCAATCATCATAGGCTATATAAAATCTGGGAAAAGTAATATACATTAAGCGAAATGATGTTATTATCTGAAATACGTTACGTAGCGGTATGTTATAACGAGGTTATACTGTGCTCTTATTACGATTAATAAATTTGTTTGCAATAGTTTTTAATAATAAATAATTTTTGTAGATATATGATGGGACAGAAATTGCAGTTAAAGATGAACAATTGTTACGCCAATGTTTTACTAAATTAAAATATGATGTCATTACTTACTACGATTTAAACGCAAAAGACATCAATAAAACATTAAAAGAAGGTATTTTAGAAGAAACAATACAATAATTATTTATTTTAAACTCTATAAAATTTAATATTTAATTTAAAATTATCAAATTTTAGGAAATACGAATTATCAATACTTTCGTGATAATTCATGGAAATAATTGTTGTATTCTTAAATTTACATAGAATTTTATTAAATTATGCTTGTAAATTATTTGTTTTAATCATCAAAGGGTATTTTAAAAAGTTTAAATTTAAAATTCTTTTATATCAGGTATGATATTTCACACAGCAAACAAATATCCAACGGTTTAACCACGTACAGTTTATTATTCAATTTTCTCTTCTACTATATGGCACTGAAGAGGGGTTGAGAATTTACGTCAGCCCGAAATGCGTGTTACACTACGTGGTTAAACCATTGGATATTTCTGTGAAGTATGAAATACTATACCTGATATAAAACGATTATACAGTTAAACTAATAACAATACAGCTACCCTATAATTAAGGAAATTATTTTAAAAATACATTTTAAAATTGACTTTTGTAGTGGCTAAAGAAGATCATCAAAATAGACCATCTCTTGTGTGTTGCTTTTTAACTCATGGACGATATAATATTAACGCTGGGAAAGATTATACATATGTACTAGATAAACTATACAAGTACTTTAATGCAGATAATTGTCCTCAATTAGCTGGAAAACCGAAATTATTTTTTATTCAGGTAATTAATTTTATCAAATCTAAATAAGTAAATTAACAAATATGTCAAGTGCGGACAAACTGATTAATCAATTTAAAAAATTGAATATAAAGAAAAATATAGGTTGATGAATTTAGATGAAGTTAATGTGTATCCTAGGATGATTCTTATTGCATTTGATGGGTCTAATGTACTTTTCTGTGGCAACGAAGTTCACAAAGGATCCGCACACACCTGGAAAATCAGGGAATCTGCAAATACCGCGAAATACGTCTGACGCTCTCGCACCTTTTTTATCCAACTACGTCTTTTAGGGAGGGGTCTACGATAACAGGAGTGACCAAAAGCAATGGCAAGATTTGTCGCGCTTATGTCTCGTAAACTATAAATGATGATCTAACGATTTCAGTTTTGTTGGATAGAAGATTTAAGTCTGTATTTAAAATATTGGGCTGCAGTCGCGCATTAAAACCGAAAATGGCGATGCCGTGCGACATTTCGGTAGTGAAACTTTTGACGGTGAAATTAATGTCGATTTATACAGAATGACAGGATTTACAATATAATTTAGCAATAATAAGTGATAAAATAGAATTTGTAGAATTATAAGCTAAATTATTAAAGTCGGATTTTCAAAAACACCGTCGACAATAACCCGCTTTTCCACCGAAACTCCGCCGCTTGTATTATAAGTTTTGGGGAAATGCAATGACTTTCAATGGGTCTATGCTGAATAAACTAGCACGCGATAAGCGATTTATTATGTTTAAATAATTTTGAATTTCCCACCTCTTCGTTTTAAGAAATTTCGATTGTACGATATGACGCAAGTCATTTTCTTATTTAATTAAAATTTACGAATTAATTTAAATAGAATTATAAATTTTTTTATATCACATAGAAACAGAGTCGATAGATATACTGGTCTTTGAGTTATGCTCTCGAGTAAAGTTAATTTGACAGGTTGCCCATAGCTGGCGTTAGAGTCGCTTTACGGCGAGAAGAAGTTGATTTTTCTATTTATTTAGTAAATAGTTTTACCGTTTTCAGGCATTTTTGTAACTTTTTCTACTGTTCCGTCAGAAAGAAATAAAGGAAAACTAGTTATTAAATAATTTATTAAGCTTTTATACTACATAGAGTAGGGTATACAGTTTTACTTGATTCAGTACAGTGATGAATAGTATTTGGGATAATATAGTTTTGTACTTCTTACATGATAAATTACATTTCTTACTACACTCACATTGGCTCTACATATTTTGATTTTGGTAATTTAACTAATATTCCGCACTATCAAAAGTAGAATATAAATGAAGATTTATTGATGGCTTAATACATTTACATTTACATTTGGGAAAGTAGTAGCGGCCGAACCATAAGGCACCTGTCCTTTGTTTATATAGGCCTAAAATATCACTTAGACTCCATGTCATCACTAACCACTATCACCTGTCAATATCTAATAATACTGTTTGAACTCTTTCCATCATACATTTACTAATTTTACTTGTCAGCCTTTAACTCATTGAGTGTTTGTAAATATGTAGAATATGTTGTCAAAATAGTTGGAATTTCCGTTTCTACAGAATCACCTATAGAAATACAAGAATTTACCGATAGTAATCTTAAACTGTCTTCTATACCGTTGATTGATGATGCAGTCACGAAGAATATGCAGTTACCCTGCACCTCCAAGGAATCGCCTCTGCAAGTTGAAGAAGTCATCACTGAGTTACTCTCAACTTCAGCAGAATCGCCATCACAGTTTCGTACGGAGCCTGTAAAGAGTACTATAAAAGACATAGTCTGTATTGTTTGCTCAAAAGCAGCATCAAGTGCTCACAAGTGTAAATCGTGTAATATGTTTGTTCACGCAGTTTGTGGTGAAGTAGATCCTAAAGAGGAAGGGTATGGTAA